TGTGTGTAATTCACATGAGCTGCTGGGCGAGTACTTGACCTAAATCCAACAACCTACCGCGGAGAATCTGAAAGGAATTAGGTTTCCTGGTAAGCAGCCTTGCAAGCGCACCTCATTACATACAATCAGAATATTCCGTCTTCTCAGTTTTCAGAACAAACACCCGCTGGTTCATTAGCACAGCTGTGTGAGAATGCTCTTCAAACAAGTGACAACCTCCTGCAGCACTGCATGTGAGGTCCGATTTCTGCATGACCAGTCTATGCGGAATGGCATTTATAAGCCGATGCTTATGTATTTGTCCGCAGAGTATCCGACCGGAAGCACCATTAATGACGTGACTCGCACTTTCATACATTAATCACGTTCCTGAAAGGACCGATCGCATTGCTGCGACACTATATTTGGACTCGAGTAGGAACTAAACGGCGGGAAGGAGAGCACGGTAGAAGATAAAAATTCCGACAAATATTGAGCTGGAGTATTGCGTCCTCGCAGTAGATTTCTCTACAGCTACTCGCAAAAGTGCACACGTACTAGGAGCCCGATCTCCAAGGAATGATTAGGGTATGAAGATATCTGACAGTGCAAGCAGAATTTGAGCACTTTCTAGCAGTTCTTCCAGTTTGTTTTCACAAAAGAAGTAGATTACATTCCACTTCGTTACGAGAGCGCGGAAGTGTCAATTATAAAAAAGGCGAGCGTGATCTGATTTATGTTCCCTGAGTGGGGTCGCATTCTGCATCCTTGCCCAGCGGACTAAATTGCGCTTCTGTTGACGGAACTCACTTACTGTCCACACCAAGTTTGCATCCGATTGGCGTTCTATCAATGCGGCTTGCAGTCTTATGCCTAAAATGACGACTAAGAATGGAAACGAACCTGCCGTTTCCCCCTCCAACGTTAACTTTGTTGATGAGTGTGCTTGATTTACTGCAACTAAGATGGCAGTTAGGTCTGTTTTTTTGTAGTGGCAATTGCAAAAATGCCATAAAGGTAGCGACCCAAATACTTTAGCCCACTAATCTGGTCACCTAGTTGAAATCTCCACTGGTTGCACCTGAAGATATCGCCTAGGAGAAAACCAAGAGGGGAGCTCATACCGTTTCATCTGAGCAGTAGAGACGTGCTCAGACCAAATCCCGAGTTGTGGGGCGATACAAAAGTCACCAGAATGAGGGGGCTTATTACATACGTAACCCTGAGTTGTCCCCTCAAGCGGCAGGGGCCGCTGGCGAAGCCAGGGATAGTGCTGACTGCGTGCAGTCAATGCCTGAGAGTCCGCACGACAAGTTCTGGCGGCTGCTTTTATAGGTTCGTGAGCCAAACTCAAGTCGTATCCAATTGGTGTGTGCTTGTGTTGCACTTGTTGAGGGGTGGTGCTTAGGTGGCCTGTGTTGCATTCGCATGGCGGTGGTGCGTTCAAGCGGCTCATGGGCAGCTGAGACTCGGTGGACACACCTGCGTCCGAGTTGAAGTCAGTTGAGTGAGGCTATAGGTCAATGCGTCTGGAACTACTCGCTGCAAATGTACATGACCCGGAGTAGGCGTGGCCTTGATCAGGGACGCCAGAAGTTGCAATAATGGCTGTCAGCAACACCAAAACTCTCAACGAGGCAGGCATAACTGGCTGCTGAGCTTAGAATGGGCACCAGGGCTCGTTATGCTTCCACTGAAGTTCATAATTTGCCAACGATAGGGTGTAAGACCCACAGCTAACTTGAGCTAGCCTGTGAACTGTGTCATACGTCGAATGGTGGTAGAGGGGGCGGTCAGATGTAGTTATGTTGCCCCATCTGAAGTAAACAACCCCCAGCCACCTGTACTACGGAACCGGCGGTAATAGGGGTCTTTACAGGTGGGGTCGAGGAACGCACAGGCGACGAGATCAAGTAGTTGTATGCAAAAGAAAAGCTATTCGGAATGCGCGGTTGCACTTAGAGTGGTTGAGAAATAGTTGTTCTAACCCCGACCCTTGGTCCTACCTCTAACCCCTGACCAAACCCAACGGTATTGTGTCCAACAGGTGGGGCTACATAACCACATCTTACCGAGGAGGGGGAGGGGGTTTCAGGTGCGGCAACACATGGGACGGAGACTAAGAAGACACAGAAAATAGATAAATTTCTGCCGAAATTCTTATCCTGGTAGTCATCTGGTTGATTCTAGGTGAATTACTTAGGAAATCCTGCTTGGGCAGTCAACTTACTGTATCAGATTTCGTGGATTCCAGACATTGCAGTAGGTTGGGCGGGTAATTTGACCCAAATGTGATTAAACTCGCGTCGTCCGGCGGGGCCTCGTAGCTCAGGTGGTAAGAGCGTTGGCTGCGCTAAAGCCTTCCCGTTACTGCGTGGGTTCGAATCCCACCGAGGCGCCGAGTTTTTAACAGTTGGGTCAGTATGAATTAATCAAAATCTGCCAAAATATCAATGAAATTCTTATCGTATGCTGTCATTTGGCAAAGAAGGTGAGCGCGATAATTTAAAAATAAACAAAAGACAATTTTCAAAAAATAACGGACATTGAATAAAGCGCTGCTGGAATCCACCAAATCTGATACAGTAAGCTGACAGCCCAAACAAGATTTCCTAAGTGATCCTCCTAGAATTCACCAGACGACTACCAGGCTCACGTATTTAGTAGATGTTGGCCGGGTAACCTGACCCAGATGTGATCAAACTCACGCCTCCCGGTTGGGTCTCCCACCTCAGGTGGCCAGACCTTTGGCTGCACTAAAACCTTCCCCTTTCTGTCGTGGGTTCGAATCCGACTGGGACGCCGAGTTTTTCCCAGTTGAATCAATATGAATAACGTGGGATTATCATACACAAAACCTGACGTTTATATGACCTTACCTTTTTATCGTACACCCACTTTTCAGCCAGTAAGCGGTCTACTAACTGCGCCTCAGTTCCCCGCAGTGTCGTCTAGAGTATGTTTTGCTGAGAAAGTTAGTCGATTGCTTACTCTCTCCCATAGTAAGTTGCCG